AAAGGATGAAGAGAAGGATAGGGGATAGATCAGGACATCTGGAGACGTCGATTGACATTACATTTAAATAGTTGGAGATTATAGCTATCAGGGAAACAAGAAAAGGGGAGGGAGTTCCACAGGCGAGAGGTGCGAGACATGAAGCAATTGGAGTAGAAGAGACGGCTACATTTAAAAGTTTCGACAGTGAAAGGGTGTTTGCGAGATGCCAGTCTAGTAGAATGCTTAAATTCATGAAGTCTGGGAACCAGCAAAAGCAGCTCATCAGAGCAGTTACCATGAAAGTATTTGTAAAAAAAGACAGAGGGAGGCAACGGCACGTCTGTGAGAGAGCGACTGCAGACGAGATGCCAGATCAGGGCCAGTTACGTTGCATATCCGTCTCTGGATCTTATCAAGAACCTTGAGACAAACAGAAGGGGCACCAGACCATATATGACAGCAATACTCCATGCAAGGGAAAATGGTTGATTTGTAGATTTGAAGGATCGACTCCGGCGAGAAATAATTTCCTGGTGCGGCACAGGGAGCCAACTTTCCTTGCGGTGGACGAAGCTATTGACTTAATGTTTTGTTCCATTTCAGGTCAGCAGTCAATGTGACTCAATTTGGCGTTACTTTCCCCGCAAATTCTTCCTTAGTAGCAAAATTAGCTATCAGAATCTATTTTAAGAATATAGGTATTGTTTAAAGTGAAAAGGAAGAGATTTTTACATACCCACATATACGATAGTCACTTACTGTTATGAAAACACATCTGGAATAAGCTCAGGTTCATAAAGTTCATAAAGTACTCATCAGAAAAAGAAAAAGATACTTGTAATGGCTAACGTAATGTTAACACAGTAATATCTATCTATCTATCTATCTATCTATCTATCTATCTATCTATCTCAGTTTGTTAATCATACTATCTTTCTTTCTCTCTCTCTCTCTCTCTCTGATCTTTGCCCCCCCACCTCAATCGGACATATAATTAGGAAGAAAAAAAAACAAAAACAAAAACAATCAACAACACCAATTCAAATGCCGCGATTTTTCAAATAAATTGTTTACAATGCTAAAGATTTTATGTGGGGGAGACATCACGTGAGCTAAAAGCTCGCATTCTACGAACGCAAGAAAGATTTGCGTTTGGACAAACGATTTAACTTTTTCGCTTTGCATCTAAACAATGCTAGACATAACTTTAATTTCACTAATGCCAACCTTCAGAATCTCCTGCAACTGTTTTGGACGGTCCCCTTGCTTAAGTTGGTGAATGCTGCCATAATCCTTGCCTTCAGTTCATCTTTGGTGTTACAGGGAATTTTGTTGGATTCTCACTCAAATGCGCCCCACACGTAATAATCAAGGGGGGGGGTTGCAGTCTGGGGATTAGGTGGCCAAATTTAAGGGGTGATGTGGTCGCAAAAATGACCTGACAGCCATGACTGTGTTCACCGGCTTGTGTGGAATGGTGCAGAGTCCTGTTGCCAGACATAGGGACTTGCAGCAGCCACCCTCTTGAACCAGGGAATCACTACCTCCTCAAGGCACTTGAAGTAAACCTCCGTGTTCTGTCTGAGGCCCTGTTGGAAGATGAATGAAGGCATAACGTCGCCATCACGAGATTCATGCAACTCTTTTCGAATCCTTTGTGCTGTCCTCAGATTGTCGCCCCAAACACCCTGAAGTATTTGTATTAGAGCTTCCGGCGCAAATTCCAAGCAGAACAGTTTGCCTTTTACAAATTTCTATCGGAGTGAATTGCGTCATGGTATTTTTTTTTCTCATAGATGGCGCCCAACCGACCCTACTACGCATAATAATCAATGGCGTTGAAGTCTTGGGAATTAGGTAGCCAGATGTAAGGGGTGATGTGGTCGCAGAAATTGTCTGATAGTCATTACTGGATTCTCCTGCTTGTTTGGCAAGTGCAGAATCCAAGTGCTAGACATAGGTTTTTCCAGCGGCCACCCTCTTGATGCAAGGCAGCACTACATTCTCAAGACACTTGATGTAGGCCTCCGTGTTGAGTATGAGACTCCCAACAACTAATTCGGTAGTTCTTTTTTTATCAGAACGACTAGAGTGAGTTTTCCGTGCTGCTGTACCTTCTTAATCACCATCCAACTCTTTCCGAAGCCTCTGCACTGTCCTCAAATTGACACCCAAGCACTCTGAAATGTTCGTATTGGAGGTTCCGGCGCGAATGCCAAGCAGTGCAGCATACCGTTTCCAAATTTCTGGCGGAGTGGATTGCATCATGGTGCTCTTTTTCTCACAGACTCTGCCCAACTGACCCCAGTATAATGTGCAGTCGACAAAATCAAAAAGAAACAAGTATGAACGAAATTAAAAATATAATATGGCGATAATTTACACATCGCACCACACACACACACACACGCACACACACACACACACACACACACACACACACACACACATATATATATATATATATATATATATATAAAGCATTTCATCCCAAGCAAGGCGGGAAGCCACTAGCACGCAAGGGGTTACAGAGAGTTGGAGCGAGAGCAAATAGGAGTGATAGAATCAAACAGAAACCCTTTATTTCGCTCACTGGGGTATTGAACTCACAGTCTTTGGGTCCCTTCACTAGATCTAACTAACGCCTTTATCCACTGTGCCATGTGTCCTCAAGGACAGGACCCAAAGAGTGTGAGTTTAATACCTGGTTGAGGCAGTGGAGAACTTTCAGAGAGAAATTTACAGGAGATAACTGATAACTGACATCCATTAAACATGGCACGTGGAACTAGAACAGTCTACCCCAGTGAGCGAAATAAAGGTTTCAGTTCGACATTTCAACAACCCGAAGAAGTCCGGAGCGTACAAAGGCCGAAACGTTGTAATAAATATGGCGACAAAGATGAGAACATTAGTCCGAATAATGTAAATAATGTATATAATACCTCATCTCAGAAATATAGACAGATACTGAAGGGTCATAAATATGGCGACAAAAATAAGGACAATAGTCAGAATAAAGTAAATAGTGTACATTAATACCTCATCTCAGAAATATAGACATATACTTAAGGGTGATTGATATGGCGACAAAGATGAGGACAATAGTCCGAATAATGTCAATAGTGTACATAATACATCATCTCAGAAATATAGGCAGATAGTGAAGAGTGATAAATATGGCGACAAAGATGAGGACAATAGTCCGAATAATGTAAATAGTGTACATAATACCTCATCTCAGAAACATAGACGGATATATGTCCTATGTTGAAAACAAGGTTTTTATTAGAGTTATTAAATCTAAAATATATTTTCGTTATGTTGACGACATAATTATTTTAGCTGAAAACAAGAAAGAAATAGACAATATGAAAGATACATTTCTACAAAATTCCGTCCTAAATTTTACTTATGAACTTAGTGAAAAAATAAACTTCCTTTCTTAGATGTTCTCGTCGATTTTACTAATAATACTCTTAAAACTTCTGTTTATAAAAAAAACAACTATCAGGTCATCCCATAAGTTTTGTCCGAATTTTATCTTTTTTTTAAAATGAACGAAATTTAAAGAGTATTTTATAATGTCTAATGGAGCTGAACATTATTTTTATGTTTAGATGCATTTAAACTGATCAAATTTTATTTCAGAGAATAATAAAATTAATTTTGTTTGATTAAAACCCTGCTAACATGGAAGTACCCAAGAATCATTTGAGGCACATAATGCTTTATGAGTTCAAGAAAGGAAACTCAGCAACCGAAGCGGCTAGAAACATTCACTCAGTTTATGGAGAGGAATGTGTGAATGAAAGAACTTGTAGAAGATGGTTTGCAAAATTCAGAGGTGAAGATTTCACCCTTGAAGATGAAGATCGAACCGGACGTCCAGTTGAGTTTGATGAAAAGCTTCTTGAAGCAGCCCTTGAAGAAAATCCTGCTTTCTCAGTTGAGGAATTGGCAGTGGTTCTCAGTTCAAAACATACAACTGTTCATCGTCATCTTCAACAACTTGGAAAAATTCTTAAACTTGGAAAATGGGTGCCTCATGAATTGTCTGAAAACAACCTCAAATCCCGAGTTGACATCTGCTCTTCTCTCCATTCTTGCCAACTTGTTTCACCTTTTTTGGATAGACTTGTGACTGGCGACGAAAAATGGATCTTTTAACGAAATGTTAAGCGTCGTAGACAGTGGCTTGGTAAAGAGGAAGGACCCCAGCCACAGCCGAGAATGGAACTTCATGGGCAAAAGTTTCTTCTTTCAATCTGGAGGGATCGCCAAGGAATAATCCACTTTGAATTCTTACCACCTAATGCAACAATTAATGCTCAAATATACTCTCAGCAATTAGAGCTTTTGAACCAAGCTTTGAGGAAAAAAGACCATCTGTAGTGAATCGAAAATGGGTGATGTTTCATCAGGACAATGCGCGACCCCACACAGCAAGAATCACGTCACAAAAGATCGAAGAACTTGGTTGGGAGAAAATTCCTCATCTACCTTATTCTCCTGATCTTGCTCCTTCAGACTACTATTTGTTTTGTAGCTTAAAGAATCATTTTGGAAGAAACAGTTTTTGTAACACAGGAAGAGGTTAAAACTGAAATTTGTGAGTTCTTCGAATCAAAGCCAAAAGAATTTTACAGTAATGGAATTAGTAAGCTTGTTAGTAGATGGAAGGAAGTCATAGATAATCTTTATTTCAGGGATGATGAAAAATCCTTATTTTCTATCATCATTGATGGCTAGGTTATTTTTTAGAAGGATGTAATAACATCCCTATTATGGATCATAAGAGTGCAATAAAAAATATTCGCTTTCCAGTATAATCTAATTTGTCACTGCACTTCATTTTGTGTTGAATATTAATCGTATACATTGGACATTGTTGTTATAACCTAGGGAAGGTTACTGAGTAGAATAATCAAACGAAGGTTGGTAATGATCGATAATTCTTAGGACAAGAACAACACATAAGATTCGCCAGCGGCGCGTAGAAGAAGTAGTCAACTGTTAGAAGTGATTCAAGTGAATTTTACAATGAATCTCCAACTGTAGGATAGCTAACAACCACCCACGCGGTCAGATGTGGCACAAGGCCGAATTTAATGTGGAGTATCCGAGCCCGTAGGCTAGGCCAAAAATTCCGCGTAGACCCCGTATAAAACGGGGTCGGGTAGCTATTTTCCGGGACGAGACGCTGCACCTTCGACATAGACTCATCTGAAGATCCTCTCTTCCCGGAGGCAGAGTGTTTGACCAGCTCAACTGGAGACGAATCTCTAACTGCAGACCAACATACAGTATTTACTACTGTATTTATGTGAATAGGGACATACCCTTTATCGTCCGTAGGTATGCTACAACTATATATATATATATATATATATATATATATACATATATATATATATATATATATATGTTGAATTAAGTATGATAAGATAAGAACAAATAGGAAACTTTTATCAATGTAATATATTTTACTTTTATTAAAGCTTCACCAAAGAGTGGGATATGGAAAAAAAGTAAGAAATTCTGGTATTATTACTTTTTATGTTGTTTGTCATTGGCTAATCATGTTTCATGTGCATTCGACTTAAATAAATGTTGCCCTTCGACACAGACTCATCTGGGGATCTTCTCTGCTCGGAGGTAAAGAGTTTGACCACCACAGCTGGAGACGAATCTCCAACTGCAAAGATATCTACCAACCGCCCCACGCGGTCAGATGTGGTACAAGGCCGAATTTAATGTGGTGTATCCGAGCCCGTAGGTTAGGCCAAAAATTCCCTGTAAACCACGTATAAAACAGAGTCGGGTAACTGTTTCCCGAGACGAGACATTACCCTTCGACATAGCTTTGTCTGGGGATCCTCTCTGCCCGAAGGCAGAGAGTTTGACCAGCATAGCTGAAGACGAACCTACAACTGCAGACCAACATACAGTATTTACTACTGTATTTATGTGAATGCAGACATGCACATTATC